TCCTCAGCAAAGGACCTGATACAATGAGTCCAGACTACAGCACCCCAGCACTGCGGGAGTCCCCGCCAGCAGTCTTCAACATTCTACAAACTGGGACAAGAAAGGCTGACTGTAACCCACATGAGCTCCGACAGGTAGCAGAGAGAAACATGAAGGCTCTAACACCACACAATAGTACAGTGTATTACACAGACAGTTCCGTAGAGCCCACCAGTACGAAGGCAGGAGCAGCCTTCACTATAGAAGGAGGTAACACGTCCCTTTGGAGAACCTCAGATGGATGCTTTACTTTGCAAGTTGAGCTAGCTGCCATACTTGGAGCCCTTAGACACGCTTCCATAAACAGTCAACAAGGCGTTGTAATCCACACTGACTCACGATGTGCTATTGAAGCACTACAATGCAGAGAGCCTAGAGACAACATTAATCTCATAACATCTGTTGTTGGCCTACTGCAAGGGTTAAAACTTCAAGATCGGCAAGTTATCATTAACTGGGTGCCCAGTCATATCGAAATCCCAGGGAATGAACGAGCTGATGCTGCTGCCAAGGCTGCATTAGGAAAGCGAAACATTGAGATGAACATCCCGCCCAGTTTCAGGAGCAGATAAAGAAGACCACAATAACACGAACTGCCCAGTGGAAAATAGACAAACATAGAAGATTAACACCAGTATCAATATCGGCCATGTGGTACTATCTGGTCACGAATTATGAGAGACCACCACTCATGAAGGATATAAGAAGGGAAGAAGTCAACTTCCACCGACTAAGATTGGGATAACCATGCATTTTGGAAATCTTTGTACAAGTACCTCTTGGAATAACCCACCAGAGAATGTGCAGGATCTGGTATCAGCCTGTGCATGTCCAGTACTTGCAACAGTGCATAACAGAGAAATGACTGACCGCACAAGCGGCTAGCCAAATGATCAGTGGTAGTGTATTCTAGTTTAGGTTCAGATTTCAAAATTCGGGAGCTGATTTCACCGAATCTCGATAATTACTGTTGTTGTTTTTTCTATAAAGAGTGATGAAAAAAACATTGAACGAGCAGACGAATGAACCACAATTTTACCTAGTTGCATTCCTTTAAAAAAGAATTCTTGGAGATCACAGAATCTATACTCTTATCTGGTCGTATTCTTAAGACTTTATGTTTATAGAGGCTAAAACATGCATTATTCCTATCACAAGGTCAAGTTTAATCAGTGTAGTTGCTCGCCAATCCATACCTGCTGTGTATGCACAATGGCTTAACAGTTTACTGCAAACACACTTTCATCGTGGTGGGTGTCAATTGCCAAAAAATAATTTACAATCAATTTTTCATCCTTATGCTTTCAAATGTTCAAGGCCCCTTTTAAATGCAACTACTTTAGCTCGTCACACATGTGGCCTTAAACTAAATTTTAAGCCTTTAAAACTAGCACAACCCTCAGCTACAATAGTCCCCATATATATGTGGCACCTCCATAGCAAAGGAAACCAGAGCAACACACCTGT